ATATTTCGTCTCGTACGTTTAGTTGCAGTCTTTTAATATCTGTTGGATCTTCTTGTGGTTGCACAATCTTGCATTTTTCGTCAACATCTTGCCTTTTCCAGTGGGATCTTCAAATAGTTGTTCTAGTAAATTGGGGATTGAGAAGACCCTTTTCCCTCTCATATTGTGAGGTTTGACGAAATTCATTAGGACGTAGGAATTGTACGTCGCCCGCATGGAATACTTCATAACTAAACGTCTTGGCCATTTATAATGCCTCCTGCTCTTTTTTTTTTGTAAGCGTGTCAACTGGTGGTTTTTATCATTACCTCCCATGAATGAATTATAAGCTTTCACTGCTGCTGGGCATGTTATTTCGTGTATTTCGTCGGTGCTTCAATCCATACAGGGTTAATATCATATCGAAACTCGGCGACCGATGTCCCGCTGAGAACGTCGTCGTGAAAGTTATCTTGCGCATTTTGCCACGCAATACGTTTCGAACGTACGTATCAACATCCTCATGACGTTGGTCACGTGATCGGCTTTTGCGTAGCTGCGTAATGGCCGCTTATCGAAGTTGTTCACCCGGCACACTGATACACAATTGGATATTTAAATATAAAATTGGTTATACGACAGTCACATAATAATTCCAATATCAACAAAAAGCTTATAAAGAACTCTTTATGAACATCAATTATTGGCAGTATATTTCGTACCAAAATAACAAAATTTGGAGTCATAACTCACTTACATGCAGAAAAATCACTTTTAGATTAGAGTCAATTTTATTAATTTTGATAAAATATATTTCGAAAAGAAAAATACGGTACATTCTGAATGCACGATAAAATTTCCTTTCGATTGAAATGTCACACAACGTGCTACCTATAATTGGTAAAAAGTTATAAGCGTGCCAAATAGCCAGTATTTAGACTTATTTTATTGTTCTACAAATACGGCGCCGCGAACCTTCAGGGTGAGCGAGTAACTTCGCTCAGAGACGTCAGAGTTAAAGCAAAATTTTTTGGTAATCACCCATCAGTTTCACCTTCTAATTTCTTGGAGTTTTGCGTGGCGAAATAAATATCGTAGGTGTTCCAGGGTAATAAGGCTTGAGAAACGCCACCATAGTCTATTCAAAAACTTATACATTCAGTGCATTGCGTTTGACTTCTGTGTTCATAAACCATTCTATATGAAATTATCTTTTGTTTATTTCACACGAACTTTAATCAGTCTTCTTGATGGTCGGTGGCAATCGCCGTAATGGCCAAGTGCTGAAGCTTCTCTAGGGCAGGTTTTCCCAAACTAGGGTCCGTGATGACGGCCCAGGGGTGTGCAACGATATGAAGAATATAATCGAAATTTAATGATTGATTTGAATCGAAAAGTCATTGCATCTTTATGGTTGAGAGTTGCAGAAGTCTGGAAAACCTGGTACAGGGAATGTGCCATTTGCAATGACTACATTAATTTAAGGTGAAAAAATGCTGCGGACAAGATCTACCTTTAGTAAATGGGAACACTAATCAGCTTTGTCAGTTCGGGACACGAGTTACCTTTAGTAGTTGGGAACACTACTCAGCTTTGGCCGTTGTGAACACGAGTTACCTTGAGTAGTTGGGAACACTGCTCAGCTTTGGCAGTTGGGGACATGAGCTATCTTTAGTAGTTGGGAACACTGCTCAGCTTTGGCAGTTGAGGACACGAGCTACCTTTAGTAGTTGGGAACACTAATTAGCTTGACAGTTGTGAACATAGGCTAAATGTCAGTAAGGACTTTTACTATGATACCAGATACAGATGTTAAACTTTTGAGGCAAATAAACATACATATTTTTCTAAAATTTTTATTTGAACACAGATAATTAGAAAGTCTATAGCAAATCACAATTTGACTCAATCATAAGCCGCAGTGATAAAGCAAACATCCAAGCTAACGGAAAAATTTCTCGTGGCTTCTACATAAGTCAAACAAAATGTTTTCTCTAAATATCCAAATTCGAGGTTTATTCTGTTATAGTTTGGATAACAAATATTAGTTAAAAACGTTGCTAGGGTAAAGAATTTTAATGACTTAAATTAAAATAAAAAGAATCAGTGGGTCGAGAATGTTTCATTATGCGTTGATCAGATGAATATATATAAATAATAGTTTAGTATAGAGTAATATTAATGATCGCTTTAAGCATTGCACGACAAAAAGGGAAAAATACCAGCGGTTGCATAATAACATGATTCAAAAAATATTGGCAGAGTTGAATAATGAAAGGTATAAGGATATATTACGAATGGGAAACAATAACTTAACAAGAAGTAAGACATAATGCATTGCAATCGATATTTTTTTTATATAATTTAATGCCATTCCAAACCATCCAAACAAGAAATCATCGGAGCGTAACCTGTTAGAACAATTTTTTAGTATATGACAGCTGCCAATTCTGTCATTTTTCGCTTTATTGTTTTTTGAAATAGGGTGAGATTGAATTGTACCTAAGTAAACTAGAATGAAAAATATAAACAAAACAGTTTCTCTCCAATAAGGATTAAATTCTGGGACTAGTATAGTACCACAAGTACTTCCAATGGACGTAGCATAACCAATAGTGTTATTCCTAACCTCCATCTGACTACGTCATCCAGTAATCACGTCACAAACACATTACAGAGCTTGCCATAGTATAGCTACGATCGCCTGTAACTTTTGGCGTGACTAAGTACGTCACTGTGACACCGTAGTGACGTAATTTTTCGATGACGTAGTCAGGTGGGGGTTAGGAATGACATATGCAAAAATTGTTGAAGTACCTCTGGTACTGTACTATACCAGACCCTAAAATATAATTAGACTGATGAACCTGCTTGCTCGACCGAGGGTAACTGAACATATTTAACCATCTTCAAAACTTCATTATTCGTGTTACTTTTATCAGGTTTAAACAAGTCATAACTTATGCTAGGAGAATAGTATTTCAGATACGCGAGTAAAAATCCCATTAGAACAAGACCCGCCACATTCAGCGATAAATGGTTAGCCAGTACGTTGTCATAGAGACAATATTCATCATCGTAAACATGCACATTGTATGAAATTACTAGAGCGATACAAGTATAGGGTTTGGGATGCAGAGAGATTGAAAATTCTCGTATGTGCCAGATTAAACTGAATTAAAAACTGGTATAGCGGGCCGAATTTCATTCAAAATTGAAACTTCTTCGCGGGCACACAATTTTTTCTCGCGGGCCACAGGTCGCACACCCCTGTACTAAGCTAAGTACTTTGCTGTCTGTATTCATTTACTTCTCGAGTTTATGACTTAAACCGCATTTGCCTTTTATTAATGAGTAAGCAGCGAAATTGTTGAAGCCGCCTATTTGAAAAAATGTAGGTCAAAGTGTTCTGACAAGTAGATTTACCTTGGAGTATTTGCCATGGAGCATGCAACATTGCTGAACCGAAATAAAAGTAAAAATATAATTTATATTCGTGATCTTAAAGTTCCCTGAAATGGGTACTTCCTTGTATTTTCGGATATTGAAGTCGGAACCGGTCATTTTCGACGTTTCAGGGGTCGAAAGGGAGTGAGAAATCCCCCACAATATTCTGACAAAAAAAAAACGGTAAAATATCTCCGAAATGAGCTACGAGAAGGCATACTTCGTCTATAAGTGAGATATAGCGTGTTCGAAGCTTGATAAATTAATCCATAAGTGGGAAATTCTCCCAAAATATTTTGACAAAAAAGTTAAAAAAGCTATAAATTAGCTACGTGAAGCCATACTTCGTCCATAGGTGAGATTTATTGCGCTCCAGATCTGTGTGTACCAATATGGAAATAACTAATTTTGTTCGCCTACTTTACATCAAGTTGTATAAAGGGATTGAAACCCATGACAGAGGGTGTAGTCACTTGGCTGACACAGGTAGTCCCCGAACACGTAACAAAATCAAAATGAGAAAAATTGAAATAAAATTATGGCCTAACCCTAACCTGGTACATACGCTTTGAGAGTCCCCCAAAACATGTAAACTTTTACGGTTTGTGATCGGTAAAAATATGGATTCCACTCAATATTTGCATCAAGCATGCAACGGCCAACATTGCTAAAGCTTAATAAAAGTCAAAATCAGAGTTATATTTATGATCGAACAGTATATTTGCTTTAATTTATCAGGTATGGAAGTCGGAAGCGGTCCCTATTTCAATCCCCCAAATATTTCAACAAAAAAGGTCGGTAAAATATTTATAAAATGTGTTAAGTTAGATCCGATGAATTGGTCCATAAGTAAGTGGGGAATCCCTAAAAATATTTTGACAAAAAAGTTCGGCAAAATATCCATAAAATAAACTACGAGAGGCCATACTTCGTTCATAAGTTCATGTCGTTAAATGATTAATTAGTAGGGCTGGGCATTTCAAATCGAATATTTGAATAGAACAGTATATTATATCGGTTGAAACGGAAATTTCGAATCGACGCCATATTGTATTTTGACATATGACCCATTTTTTGTGAGTTATTTATGAAACATGTTTCTTGTTGTGTGTGAACGCTCAGCAAACTTTCAGAGTGATGAATTCAATGTTTTGAGGAACTTATGTGCTTGGACGACTCATCACAATAAAAAAGTAACATACATTGGAATATAATTTAAATCTTTTAGATTTTGATTCTGAAAACATCATAGGGTAATTAATTCGTGTCCGGAAATTTTGCCGTAGGAAATCTCGCCACAATAAATTTCGCGCATAAAAATTCGCCGCAAGAGCATTTTGCTGTAAATCAATTATTTGTGATAGCATGAAAAAAAGCCGCAAGAGCATTTTGCTGCAAAAGAAGTATTTGTGATATAAACAGTTTCGATTTATAGTGTTAGGGTATGCTTTTAAATAACGAATTCTTTTGAAATGAAAAGGTACTTCTAAAACTGATTTTCTCACAAATACTTTTTTACAGCGAAATGCTCTTGCGGCGATTTTGTCTATGCGGCGAATTTTCCTAGAACCATTTTAATTAGTAGCATTACAAGCACACATAACTCCGAGAAGAGATACAAATCCAGGTGTCACTTCCATATATCTCCAGTTGTTATTCATGTAGCGAGAAACGAACAAAAATATGTCGACTTTATCGGGGCTTGGTACTCTTGGTGCGCCGTTTGGTGGCCAATCGACAAATCCTCTATTTGGAGTTACGCTGCCATCCTGAGTGGAAATAAAACATTTATTGGGTAATACATGTAACTAAAATACCAGTGCCCTAAGTCGTATAGAACTGTGGTTCCCAAAGTTGATTAACCGGGGGTCAAAGGGGAGGAAAGCGCCCGCAAGGAGCCGATACCGGTGCGTAGAATGAAAATACCGGTGGTATATAATTGTATAAAATGTTAAACTATTTCAGTTCGACGTGCCCTATTAAATTGTTATTACGGTCCGCGAACCATTACCTAGCCGATGAGAACTTAGACTTACTGCGTCAGCATCACAGATTATACAATTTGGGTTCAAATCCTATGCCTAATCTAACTCAGGGTGTACAAATAAAAGTAGCTCCTTACATAATACTAGATATCGATGACCACTTGTATAGGACCATGTTCTCATCGAAAAGCGTGTATAAGCGTGAAATATACATGTAACTAAGATACCGCTGTTTAGGGCAATGTTAGGAGGGCATAGGTGTTTGTGAGTCGTCGAAATGGAACTACAGGTAATGGGAGTTTGAGAAACACTGGTCTGGGATGTAGAGTAAAAGTTGAGAATGCATAGTATTGCCACTAGCGTGTCGAAGGAGCACGTTGGTGCGGAACATCGTAAAACTGAAATAGAAATTCAGCCGTGAATGTAAAAATTTGGAAAATGCAAGCGTTACATACCTGTTGGTCTATTTCTGTTCCGATCCAAAACTTCACTTCTCGTAAATTCGCACCCCAGATTGTCATATTCGCTCGGTAGTATTCAGTAATATTATCATAGGCATCTCTGTCATAGATGATGGCGAGAGTCGAATTGCGATTTATACAAAATTCCCTTGCTTGTTCAAGATCAAATTTATAAGATGACACTTCTGCAAAATAGCATGGGCCGCCGATCACTAAGTCGCAACCTGAAAGATTATTACCGTCGTTCAATGTAAAGTTGTGTGAAATGAGCAAATTTGTTCATTACTATGAGTTCATAGTAATCTTATAATAAGAAGACCTTGATGTTGATGTTTTCACTTTGTCGAGCATGAATTGTTTGAACATAGCGGTTTTAGACTTATTAAAACCATGTCAACTGTCAATATTATGACAAACAGTAATATAAGAAACGTCAATTCTAGATTAGAAGCCACAATTTCGTACCTGCAGTTTGGTCTTTTGTTGGCAACTCGGTGGCTTCGGTAGTGGATGACATCATTTTATGTTTCATTGTTGTTACGTCATACTTAGCAACTTCTGTTTTGTGATCGTCATAAATTGTTGTTGATATAGTGACGCCATAACCAGGATTAGTCACTAAGGCTTCCTCAAGCATTTCAGTCAGCTGTTCTCTTAATTCTGAGAACGATGTAACAGGAATCATATATTAATCTAATATTGGCTCGCAATTAATTCTTCAATTTGATTTAAAGTAAGTCAGGATTTAAGTAAAGCGTGTGGTGTTAGAGTAGCTTACGTAGTGACGTCCATAAATATGTAAATCCTATACTATAATGAAGGTACGTGTCGTTAGTACAATACAACATAGAACCTGTGTTTAAAATTTTGAATTTCACCACTTCAAAAGTTAGGTTATTGCGCGACCATCTTGCTTACAGTAATCCAACATCAGATAAATATCAGATGTAGCGCATCGTGCAAAGCGTTAGTAATATCCTTGCCACCACACCTCTGCGTTAGTTTGCGCACCTGTTTAACCTGCGTTAGTTTGATCGTAGGTTCGAATTCCATGCGGGGATAATTGCGCGCGAGAAGATTGCTGGACTTCTTGCCGCTGTAGCGTGGTTCACGTAACCGCTGGTGGTTGAAGATAAAATAATAAATTTGTGGGCAACTTTGTTTTTATCAATTATAAGTTTAGCAGTTTGAGAGCCACAAAAATTTGGTTGCCGACCACAGCTCTAGTACAAAAATTAGACCTTTTTCGTAGTTTGGAGTAGGAGTCAATTTTTATACCTCGCAACCGGGAGTTGGAACCAGAATTTTATTTGAACCGGAGTGGAAGTCAGAAGAATTTTTTCAGTCGATTGTAAATTTACCATTATATCACGGCCCAGTTCTTTAATTACGACCCCGCTTATGTCCTAAAACTTCAAACACATATTCCACAGGTTTATGTGGATCTTTCGTAAAATCCTTAGCCAAAAAATAATTAGTAATTATATATCCAGTTAGGATCAGGGTTAGGAACGCATATTGCGCTGGAAATTCAAATCAGTCCTAACCCGAACTGCATAATTACTAATTTTTTTTTAAAACGTGGCTTGGGTGTTATTTCTCAAATCTCATATTTTTGCATTAGTGACTTTGTACAAAAAATCTGTTTATGTGACAGATTGACAAATTATAAATGTCCAGTTGTTGTGAAAATATGTTGGTTAAATCCCAACTTACCGTCTTCGCTTGTAGCCTGTAGAAAAAGAAAAATAGGGTTCCAAGCTTGTCACTAAGATATCCAAAAGAAATCATCAGCACCCGTTTTTCACTCGGGTAAGAGAAATGGGGTAGGCGGGAACAGTTTCGTTCTTTTTTGTCGAGTTTGGTTGGAATTTCATAAAAATACAAAATGTGCTAGAGCGGCGACGAGGGTTCAATAAAAATTCAGGTTGGGATTATTAGACAAGAGAGAAATTTTGTACATACGGTAAACAAACCCAAGTGATTTAAGAGTCTTGCTGCACAATAAATCGAATTTGTGTTAAGCATAGTAATCTTCACTCTTGCTACAGCATCATTGCGTTATATTTACATTTCAATTGAGTTTAACTATAGTTAATAATTTTCCACATTCTTCACGACCGCTATTTTACTCTAATTCTCCTTAGTAAAATTCGACTCACCGCGAATATAAGTGTTTTCTCATATTGCGACGATGTTGAGCCTCCTTCTAGATGAATATTTATGTGAATTTCGACTGTGAAGTAAAATCAGTATATAAAATATAATGATAGTCGCATTTGCTTTGGTATAACCCCGTCCGCATTACACGCGAACGCTACGCCTCACATTTCTTTAAAAATTGATTACTCTTACATATCCTTATTCTTTGCTACATCACGGAAAATCGGACAGCAAATTCAAAGGTCATTATGACGTAATTTTTTTCATTATGAGATAATCATTTATGCTATGAATTCACGGCGTAGGGAATGAAATAAGTACTTTTGGCGAAATACTTATTCACGTACTACACTGCAAGTACTACACTATACGATACATCCTGAAATATATAGTGATATTTTAGCAAGGATTTTGAGTGGGCTTCAGAAGCGGGATGCATAAAATTATGTCATTTACGCAAAAAAATTTCTCGTAACCGTTTTTGGTGGAATTAAATATTCTTAGAACGGGTTCTCTTTTGTGTTGAACTCGCTAAGAATAGGTTCCTTCGGATCAGAAAATGAATTTATGCTACTAGGTAAGCTACATTAACATGACGCGCCATACAAAAAGCAAATACACAACTTTTTAAAACCCAAATGTAACATTAGTTTTCAGCTGCGGCGAACGTTACCTATTTGTTGAAGTCGTCCAACGCAGTGGTACCTTTTTTTGAGTGACCCAATTTTTTTTTCAAATGAATTCTCTGAATCTCGTGACCCAAGGACATACTCAAATACTGAACGGCAAGTAGTACTTTTATGGACGCAAAATTGAAGAACTAATATAAACCAATAGTTTTTACATAACATTTATTCCCCCAGAATCTACCCCAAAGCGAGAATGCACAGCTTGTTGGCCGGCAGCGAATTTTCGAACAGCGAACAGTAGACTTTGCTTAGCAAAATGAATGCTGCCAAGTTTCTACGATTTGATACCTCCCACATGTACAATTACAACTGAGCAACACCAAATATATAATAAACAATTAAGGGTGCTCCCGAAGTATGCGAACCAAGATGGCGGACATCGGAACGTAACATGGGTAACAGGTTAGGTCATAATTTTCCTTATTTTAGTCCTATTATCAGTTCGAAGACTAGCCAAGAGCCTCCCGTAGTATTTATACCTAAAATTAAGGCCTAACCCTAACCTAGTATACATATTACATTCCGATGTCCGCCATCTTGGTTCGCATACTTCGGGAGCCCCCAATTAAGTTTTCATCAAAAAACAAGCGACCAGTTAAAATTCAAGTACTCTCGTAGTATTTGTACCCGGTTAGGGTTAGGCCATAATTTGATTCTGGTTTTCCTTATCTTAGTTCTATTACGAGTTCGGGGACTGTCAGTGTTATCCACGTGAATATACTCCCTGCCCACATGCTTCCATTCTTTTACACAACTTGATGTAAAGTAGGCGAACAAAATTAGTTACCTCCATATTGGTACACATACTTCTGGAGCGCCAAAATTTGCAGGCGACCCATAAGTTGGTTGGAAAGCACTAGTTTTGCATAAGACCCGGTGTCTGCGCATCGTGCCAATGAGGCTCGAAATCGCGCTTCTGCTTACCCTGCGTGGGTTCGCATCTCGTGGGGAAATTATGTGCGAGAGGATTGCTCGAATCCTCGACGTGTTAGGGTCTTTCACGAAATCGCTAGTCGGTTACCGTCACGACTTCCTCCACTAGTAAATTCATGCATCTAAAACCAGTAACTAACAACTCTATATACTTAGGCAGCTTCTAACCACTGATTATAGAAGTATTGGATATTCTTGCACAAACAATATTACCCGTGCACACCGATTTGACTACTAGTGTCATTTCGGCTATGACTTCCGATTCAAGTTTAAAATTCCGACCCCGAGAAGCTCGAATGATACGGCCAAACACTTTGAGTGATTAAAACCACAATCCTGGTCTGTATACAAAAAATCCCTCACCTGCATTAACGTCCATATTCCACTGAGATAACACGAAAAACCAAAGAATAATTTTAGAATACATATTGAACAGCAATGTACCTGAACTGCATTCAGAAATAAAACGGCGATGAAACTATGTAACAGCTTTTTATGATATTAAAAAAAATAAGTAATTTTTACTTGAATAGCAATCAGTTCAAATAAACCTGCGTGGCCTACTACTACTACTACTACTAGGATCCCTTAGATGAGGTATATTCGATTAAAATAGGCGTCTTCTTATTTATAACATGTTTTTCTACATAAGAAATCATTAATTTTCAAGGAAAACATACTAACTTCACTTATATTTTATTACAGCCTAATATTATTGCATTACAATGAGGTTGGCAGTTTTCATAAGCTATTGTGAATACGAGATCCGGAAATTATAAGTCACAAATCATCACAATGGAAGTATGGAAATTTTTACGATGCGATTTCAATACGTAAATTTTGAGTGATGAATATAATGAGTTGCGATATATAGTATACCAAGTTTGCTAAAACTTCTTCAAATGCATAATAGTTAGCATTCTGAAGCCACCAATCAACGTTTGACGCAACAAATTAGATCACCAGAAAATTTACATTCTTTCTCAGAAATAAGATATTTCCATATTCCTCAAATACTGCTTGGCCGCAATCCATTACAAGACCATACTTTCGAATGTCTGATATAACGAGGGTTTCTTCTAGTTTTCTACCATCATAGTTTGTCGTATGACACTTCCATATTAGATCTTAGGTGTCAAAATATGCTGAGTTGAGATGATTTCAAAATCTTCTATTCCGCCTCAAAGTTTATGTATGGTGGAAAAATAAACGAATATTTTGTACAAAGTTCCCGACACTAATGTAAAAATGCGAAATTCGAAAAAAATACCCACGCCACGGTTTAAAATAAAAAATTAGTAATTATCCACTTCGGGTTAGGAATCATTCGAAAATTTGAATTTTCAGCGCAATCTGTAGTCCTTGCCCCCTAGCTGAATATTTACTATTTTTTTTTATCTGTGACAGGATGTTTTTTTTTGTACTCCCTAAGCATGTGAACCAAGATGGCGGACACCGGAACGTAGTATGTGTACCAGGTTAGGATTAGGCCATAATTTTTTTCCGATTTTCTTATTTTAGTCATATTACAAGTTCGGGGACTAGCCAAGTGACTCCGGTTGTATTTGTACCGGAAAATATGGCCCAACCCTAACCTGGTACACATACCACGTTCTGTTGTCCGCCATCTTGGTTCACATACTTCGGGAGTAGCCTACTTTTTTTGGCAGGGCTTTTGTACAAAAGATCTAAATAAAGTACTGGTTTGTTCAAAGCGTTTGCACTTTAGACAGCGTTGATTCACTGCATACTCTTGTTTTAAAATCCCACATGGTTTTGTAAATGGAATTATTTTAATGACGCGCGCATCATTGAACTACTTCCTTGATGAATATATCATTTCCCGAGCATGGGCCAATCACAAAGCGCGCTTGAAGTGTTCATTACATTTTGCCCGGCCTTGGTAGTATATATTTCATATCTTACGATCTGTATTCTTTTAAACCTGGTTTGATATGGAATATGCGTGGTTAAAAGTTAATTAATTCTGTTTATACTGTTTGATGGTATCCATGCAAATGATATGACGTATATTCGCTGAATGACTTTTAATCACACAGGGAAATAACATTGCAATTTGCCTGACTGCAAACTGGTAGTGTCGATTTTAGAGCCACCACGATAGCATCAATAATGTTTTCTGCTGCGGTGGTATTCCTGTGTGTTTTTGGATTTACTACTGTGACATCGGGTAAGTCGGATATTTCATTTAACAAGATTACAGCTGTAAGTGACGTTTCAAGTACTGTTTATATAAAGATAGTGTAACAGAGCAGCGTTCATCACACAGGTACTTTGTGACCCCAAAAGAGAAAATACACAAAAATTTATTTAACACTCTGGAACTTTTGTTTGTGTATGATTGTACCCAAACGTTTCAGTAATCTTGGACGTTTTGCACAAAAAGTATGTTTCCTTCGCCGTCTGTGAAATATGTTTTAAATGCCATGTTTTTTTGTTTGGGGGTTATCCTGTGTTTATGAAAGTGTCCCGTCATCTTGAACGAAGCTGTTTACGTCATGCCAGTATTGACATTTATTCTTGTTCGAGGCTTGCAACCTCGGGAGCGTAGGGCGATTTCATTCATAAATTTTATCATGTGTCTGAGAATTCGTATAATACTTTGCTTGGAGCGAAGTCTTTTATTATTTTTTGTTTGACTAGTTCTATTTTTAAAGATTAATGATTATGCATAATTAACGTTTATAAAATCAAAAATATTTCGATATGTTTTTTATTTTTGTTCAAGTATATGCTGAGATATTTATATTTTGGGTTCAGCTACATAATAAAGAAAACAAACTAAACTTAATTAATTCAGTGATTCTTGCCACGACCGTAGCCAGCCAAAAAAATTTTTGGTTGGGATGGCCACATTTTTTTCGTATAATTACGTAATACGATGCTTACGTGTGCCTTTTGCTCCGATCAAAGCAGCCACTGATATGTACAGACTTCTTACCTGTCAGTCGAAGTTCACCACGTTATATAATCGCCCCCTGTCGCCACCCGATAACCAGTATCGGCTTGACGCACCTCCTTTCCGAATTATCGTTTTTGCTTTTTTTTACATTCTGTATCCATTTAGTGAATTTCATGTATGGTGAAAATATAAACTACGATTACTCATAGGCGAATATATCATATATTGAATGAAAATGCCACTGCGTCAGAGCTTTTTGCATTCAAACTAGAGAAACTTGTTCAGTCATAAACATATTTTTAGCTGTCAAATGTGATTGATCGAGAGCTCTAACTTGTTTACTATCAGAAATATCCCAAGTTTTTTTACCGCCATAATTTTCCACGACCTCAATCGGCAGGGGCTGGGAACGTAGTTACACGTTTAACTGATTCAAAATTGTTAACGGTTACAATTTGTTTTGACCGTTAACTGATATCTCAGATATAAATTACCTTTATACTGTACAATTTCTTTAAAAATGATTAGTTGATCACAAATTTATCTCCCGTGACGTTTGATTCAAAATAATATCATTAACTGTATTAATAAGCATCCAAAAATGTAAAAATTATTTGAAGTACTGGTTCTGCTGATCATGAAAATTTGACAATGATAAGTTTAGAAACGGGTTCCGGTCAGAATATATTGTTTACGACCATGGAAGTATCTTGATCCGTAAATAATTTTGAGTAATACCAGGGTAAACCATTGTGACGTAACAAGCTAAAAAATTTAAACTTAATTCGTCAAACGCAGCACTGCGGTCAATTTTACCTGGTTAACGGTTAAAATATTTTTTCTGAAATTCTCAGAGATCAGGCACCTTTTTTCTGAGTGACCGCGCGTGACTTTACCTTTAGCGAATTTACCTACACAAGTTTAAAAGTATTTCCGTCTTCTCTATTGCAGTCGAAATTTCCCTGAATGTTCAAGTCGGAGGTGACTCATCTACATCAAGGAACAACAAAGAGGATCTGATTGCAGTAAGTTGTTCACGATACATTTAGTTCAAACAATATTGATGATCATTCGATATGTTTGTTCCTACAATCCATGCACATTGAAATAATTATTCTAATATAATTTGAATATTTAAGCGATATGAATGTTTCATACCAGCCTGAGTTAGACCCTTAGGTTTTGGCTCGCAACTTTTGTTTGAGAGACTTTCACCATGCAAATGTTTAAATTTCGGGGATATGTTCATTCTCTAATAATTCTCGGGTTTGAGACTTCAACATGATTACCAATTTATTTGAAAAGTTTGGTGTTAGTTCAACAGTTACATCTTAAGAAAATATGATGTGGGAGGATTCAAACTCCGCCATACTGGGGTAACCCAGGGTGTAACAAACTATGCCAAGCGGACAAAAAAAATCTGTTACTTGAAAAAATACAGTACTCTCCCTAGATTGCAGAGTGGCCTAAAATAACTAATCATTTGTTTAATTTTTATTTCAGGCTATCCAAAGCGAAGGTATGTTGAATTCATGTTGAGAAAAACTTTTAATATTTATCACGATGGAAAGGAAAGTCGATAAGACGGTATTTTATGCAAAGCGTGTCATGTTGATGTAACTTACGTAGTGACACACATTAGTGAACAAGACGTTCAAATTGTTCTCATCATTTCATTTTATTTACTGTGATGTATTATTTTAGTGGGAACCATTATTTTTACACCCAGGACAACTGGACTCATACATTTGCACTCGCAGATTTTTGCACCCCCATACGGATTGCACCCACGTACTTAGGTGCAAATTTCCATGGAATTTTGGATTCCGTCACTGGTAATATAGATATCTAGTCACGGGTTGTACTGTGTATGAGTAACGGGGAAGTAATGCATGAATAACTAACTGTCATCTAAATCAGTGTTCCTCAACATACGCACATAGTTGCAAATGTTCATTAGTGGAAATGTGCCAATGTACATGGTGCAAATATCCCCGGGTACAAATGTCCGTGGGTGCAAATGTACATGGGTGCGAATATACATGGGTACAAATGTCAACGAATGCAATCTGTATGCGGGTGCTAAAAATTGTGGGTGCAAATTTTCCAGGATGCAAATTTCCACCTTATAGCGCTAGTTCGGCATGGTTTGCTAAAATTCGGGAACCTGTTGTTCGTGAGTTCGAAAAAATAAAAAACCCGTTCTTGATATTTGGATTTCGTCACCGGTATACTTCAGCGCTTACCCTTTCAGTATATTGATTATTTTCGCGACTCCCTGTTTTGAATAGCGCGCTGCTTCTCGGGTCTTACGATAAAAGTCGACATTGTTATGTGAGCGCGCCTCTCGAAATCGTGAGATCTACGTTTTGCACTAGTTTTAATATTCGTGTTTCGAACTAAAAGCCTAAAAAAGTACAATAGATATATGACTGTGTGGAATCCGTATACTTTTTGCAACCCATAATATTCGTTGCGCGCCCCCATCCGGGGTCGTGACCCCCAGTTTTAGACGCCCTGGTATAGATCACAGGTTTCATTGTGTATGATTAACGAGTGATGCATGAAAAACTAACAGTCACCTAAATCAGCCTACGTTTCCCAACCTACGGTCCCCTGAAAATATTTTTGAGTTCATTTTTATTTAACCAGAACGTTAAAGATTTTATTTTCCAGTAATTTTTATCGTTTATTTATATTTGTATTGAAGTGTCAATTGTGATTGTATATGTTGTATAACAGCATAAAAACTTGGACGCATCTTATGCTTAAGTAAAGCCACGCCTCGATTTCAAAAACTCGCTTATGGAATATTAGCACAGCTTTCTCAATTTGTGTCAATTTCTGAAAAAATGAATTTAATGTGAAGATAGGGAGTTAATTTTGCGGCCATAAAAACATCACACATTTTTCAAAAAATTTGGGTCGCTGGAAAAAAAGGTTAGAAACCACTGACCTAATCTTGAAACGAGGATTCATCACGCAAACCTACGCACATCCGCCCCTCAATTCAACCCAGGATCAAAGAATTTGGGAAGGCGATGATAAACCGCAAAGACATATCAACACGCTTTGGTACCACATTGTTATGTTGTAAGTATTATAACGTACCCCCTTCAGTATTGAAACTCGCATTTTTTATTGTGACGTCACATTTTTTATTGTGACGTCACATTTTTTATTATTTTTTATCATGACATCATAGTTTTGAAATTATATCTGAAACATTACTCAACAGTTAACTGAGTTGCCGGATGTAAAATATTTTAACCCTTGTTGTGCAACCTATATATTCATAACTTTGCATTCATGCAGATTTGCGCCGACAACTGACCGAAAAACTTGAGGCTTTATTACGAGACAATCCAAACGCTGATCTCAAAATATCTACTACTCTATTTCGTCACGATGACATCACTCAATCAACAACTGCTACAAATATTGGCACAACGACTACAAATCACAAGAACTTGGGAGCAACGACTCCAAACGTTAGCCCCGAGACCGATGTCACCTCAAGTAGAGTCGTAGATACAGCCACGATTCATTCTTTAATCACCGACGAACCAGCAGATTACAGCACTAGTAATTCCGAAGCAACATCCAGATCTTCTCCAAATGATAATAATATTTCAACAGTTCAAAGTACCGACGACCTCGGAGAAAAAACAACGATTTTGCCGCATTCTACTGACGTTTCTTCGGCCGATAACACTGAAATCCTCGAAGACAAAGTTACAACTCAAGCATCAAGCAGCTACTCCCCCGCGAGTACCGTGACTGGCAGCCAAAATGGAGGTACTGAAGTAACCAACACTTCTACAACGGAAACTTCAGAGTCTCATTGGACTGAAGACACGAATTTAAAAACTACAAGTAAAAGTCCCACCTCTAGCATTTCATCAAGTACAGGTAATAAGGACGACATGTACCGAATAACTTCATCAAGTAGTGAGACTTATCCGGCTCACGTGAACAACCTTGAATCCACAAATAATCCGCAGACCCCTGCAACAAGCTTCGGAGCTGGCACCTCTGCCGTTCGCTGGATATACAGTTCTGAAGACAGAATTACATCAACAAACCCTAATCGTTATTCAGTGAGTGACCAAGGTGACGGAAGTGGCAGGCAAGAACCAATTACCATGACAGGCATTGGCAATACTTATTCGCATACAATGATTCCAGTGGAAATGGAAACTACTAATGACATGGCCGAGAAACCGCAAACACAGACAAATGAAGTGCCAGGTACAGCTAAAATCATGCTTTCAGAATAATTGGATTGCATAGGATTTACATATTTATCCCTTGAGAGAGGAAAGCCGATAAGATGGCTTAACCATATGGCGAACCACGGCCTCTCGTCCGGTTACCATTCCATGTCGGGTATGGGAATAGTTAGTTACTTGTTTTCGGAAGCATGGACTCGATGGTGGAGGAAGCCGTAACCGTCAGGCGCTTACATAAACCACTCTGCGGCGGCGGGGAGTCCAGCAATCCTCTCCACATAACCATCCCTGCATGGTATTCGAACCTGCGAACCCACGTAGAGTAATCAGAGGTGGCCAGCGTATTCCTAACGCTTAGAATGATCAGCCACACCGCCGATAATACATATTGAAAATGCATTATGATGAATAGATAGTACACGCATAACATAAAATATATATTGAAAACTGTAAAAGCGAAATTTATATAAATAAAAAATGTCAATGCTGGCCCCATGTCCGCTGCAACTGTAACCCCTCCGTTTCAACTAGGTTATGGATTTTTTTGCACCTCGGACCAAAAATTCTGACCACCTAAACTGGCATGCCATGTAAGTGTGACGTAAAAAGTTACATTTTATGAACAATATTTACAGTGTTACAGAAGCAAAAGTGGAAAACAATAAGCCTCGTGCCAAAACTAAATTTAATCTAAATCTCAACAAATTCCGAGCTATCTTGTAGCTGAAGCATCACAATTTGGTTTTAGTTTGGTTGTGGCAGCACCGGGCGATATTGAATTACCCAATGGGCCGGATTTGGCCTGCGGACGTAGTTTGCCCATGTCAGGGATAGACGTTCGCTGATACCATAATGTTCATAGCACGGATTTATTTTGCATCAATCGCTGGGTGACACACATCAATAGCGTTTAGTGATGACAAGGACTAAATGAAATACTCTGCATTGCAATATATACATATTTTTCTATTACATATTCACATATTGTGTAATGAGCAGCAGACCAATAAACTATATAGGAGGGAAGCAATACAAATGCAAATTAGCGTTATTTATTCATCCGCATTGGCAACCAGCTGTATATAATGCAGCCCAATGTTATAAACGGAAGAAGAAATTCTCATGTTAATTTGGAACGTCTATCCATCCTAACCTGCTGTCTGGTAGACCAATAGCCTTTCAAATAGAAATTGGGCCAATCATCCATCGCTATTCCTAACCTGCTGCCTATATGGAAGCCCATCTATATTCCTGCTCCGCGAAGGCCATTTATATGGCAATTGCAGCCATATTCATCGCTTATCGTGATTATCGTGACGTGTTCATATATGATGGACTGATAGACTCCCGCGAAAGAGACTATTCAAATTGGAACAATATATTCATTCTCACTTGTAACCTGAAGCACAATACAACATACCCCTCCCCCCCACCCCATTCATTCTCCGCGAAACCCTATTATAAGGGCAATTGGAACGTTATATTCATCTTTACTCGTAAGTCGTAACTAATTCAAAAGAATCGCTCCCGACGAGATTTCGCTGTGAAAACTGAATTATCTGAGACAAAAATTCAGAAAACGTTTAGCAGCAATTCTTATTAAGAATACAAATAACGAATATGTTACAGAATGTGACGTGCAGATAGAAGATCATTGCTATTGGGTACATTATAAAGACAAAAAAACTATTCCATCCATCACGTACCGACATGCCGAGGAAATTTGCAATAACCATAACTCTGTCGTGGCGATTATTTTTGATAAAAATACCTACGAGGAAATTACCAAATACATTCGAGAAAAAATCTCGATGCAACCAGGAAGATTTTGGACAGGGATAAAATTTGATTCAAAAGTAAGTTGTTAATATATGTAAACCGATACTGCTTAAATTGTGTACAGAATTGGGAACACAGGAAAATTGAGAAATAATGGAATAAAATACAGAAACATTACCTAGGGGTGGCTGAAACTCAGCTACCGGAAGTTTTGAACACTAGGGGTTATATAATTTGATTGATGTGTAGTAAACTAAATCTCGGTTTGAGAAAATAATAAACCTCCAAGCTTTAGAATAAAAAGAGATGTATATTAGCCTGACTTTCAAGAGTGTTCACTTGTGGTGCTTCAAGATACATCTATTCAATGAAATATGTATTCATCCACTATTTTAATTGAATACCAAGTGATTTTAATACAGTAAGTCAGTTGAATCGATCGTGTAATAAATTGGTTGGCTGAAGTTGACCTATTGTTAAGGGTTATGCATAGTATTGACAAATAAACTGTAAATCTACAGCGTCTAACTAACGTGCTATATTATTTAGGGCGAATCTATACAACCGGAGGATGCCTTCGTAGATTGGGGTGGATGGTCTAGTCACAACATAGCACCACATGAAAGCGATGGGTGGACCCGCGTCTACATCTTTGTACCAGGGTATTTAAGCAGTGACACGTGGATGGCGAATACATCTCCCGCAACTGGATTAAATGGAGTTATCTGTTTCAAGAGAATCTCTGTCCCATCTCAAACAAACATAGATACAGAGCCACTTTGAATATGTCTATTGCACAGTGACATACATTTTCGTCGGTTTGATAAACTTTGAATTCCTCTAGAACTGACATAGACAAACTGCGGACTGCGGGCCAAATACGCGGCCCATCGGGTTATTCAATCTGGCCCGCCTAATGCTGCTACAATCAAACTAAAACAAAATTTTGATGTTTCAGCTTCAAATAGCTCAAGGAATTTGTTGAATTTAGTTTCCGCACAAGGCTTATTGTTTTCGACTTTTGCTTATGTAACACTTTAAAATATTTTTCATAAAATGTAACTTTTTACGTCACACTTACATGGCCCGCCAGTTTAGATGGGTAAGATTTATGGACCCAGGTTCAAAAACCTTGCCCATCCCTTATCTAGAGCCAACTTAATGTTGCGGACTATACAAATTTTTTCTTTAGCCCATTGAAGGCATTATGACGTAGCTCATTTTAATACACACTCAAAAAAAAACAGAATTCTTAAAAAAATTTCGATTAGTTTTACGAAAAATAATTTAGGACTCTCTGCACCTAGAATATGTTTCAAATAATCTGGGTTTCGTTTTTGAGGGGGGACCCTGTATATTAAATTTTTTTTTATTGATTACCATTTAGTAATTATTCCCTCCTATAGAATTCCAAAACGTAACCCGTAACTAGAAACAACTCTGAGATATATAAATTGAGTAGAGCAATATCAGATTGTTTTATGATAAAGTGTAAGGTTATATACATGGGCGAACTGTAGGCTGAGTATCTATTTGTTTGGAAACTATACTGGATTTGAGCGTATTTTTGCATATAGCAATACAGCATGACTTGATCAGATGCAAAACGTGCTATCTACTGTTGTATTAAAAATGGAAAACTATTCCCATGATTTGCATTTCTGGCATCAAAATTCCTGAGTCACCCACATCACTCATTCATTCACGACTCACTCATTACTCGCTATATTTCAAACACACTTCAAAAAAGGATAACAAACAAAATTGATACTAAACTGATCAAGCTATGCCGTCAAATCTATTAATATAACGCATATTGAATATATATTCCACCCGAAAAATCGACTTCGTCTTTCGACTCCGTTGGAAAATTTGATCACGATGCCGGATTTAAAAAATTGAATGAACAACGAAATCAGCTTGAGTTATGTCTGCAAAAACTAAGTTTAGGTTTTATTTTTGACCCATTTTGAAGCTCTAAATTCAGAATCAAACCTCGACTCTGATGATTTTGAATAAATGACACTGGTTCAAATACTATCAATAAATCGCCAACGTATTTATAGCAATACACAGTGACTCCCCCGCCCTCAATAGGAAGTGAACACCCTCCCTCAAATTTCAAACACCCCCTCAATATTCAGAAAGAAGCGTACATGCCAGTGCAGATCATCAGTCAAAAATTTTCAAATGGTTTTATCGCTAATAGCAAAATATCTACCACCCCTACCATATCTACATTTGGAAACACTCCGCCTAAAATAGAAAGCTGGTGAATATACTGGCCATATACGATATCGCACGATAAAACTGCTTAGTACTGTGTGGTAACGTTGATATATTTGAACCTTGCACCATGTATATTAATGACATTTTACTCACCTCTAGTCATTAAATCCACTCTGTGCATGTCTTTATACCTAATAAGTAAATTGCAAGTAGATAAGAACTATCACATGTTACATTTTGCGTACTTCATTCTTAATTCTTTTATTTTATTTTTTTAATTTTTCCATTGTTATTATATGACTGTAGTCATTGTATTGCATGGATCAGGGTTATGCAACCTGCGGCTCACAAGAAAAACTTGTGCGGCCCGCGGAGACGTGCTAATTTTGATGATGTGCGGCCTGCGAAAGGAGTTTTTTATTCAGTTTAATCGTTAGGTGTGAGTAATTTCAATCTCTTTACGTTGGGTCCAATTCATTACATATGAAGTTACAATGAATGCCCTAACAGCTAGATTGCTGCGTTCCCACCGAGTGATTTGTATTTGGCCCTTCTGTATTGCAGGTTACACACCCCTGGCATAGATTAAGTTTCATGGGCTTATCCAAAAAAGGTTCGCCGAAGAAAATGTCAGGCCTGATCAGTCATTTTTTTCTTCGTTTTTTTTTTTATTAATTTTCGGTACTCCCGTAGTATGTGCATCAAGCTAGCGGACACCGGAACGTAGTATGTGTACCAGCTTAGGCTCTAATTTCAGGTACAAATACTACGAAAGTCATTTGGCTAGTCCCCGAACTCATAATAGAACTAAAAAAAGGAAATTCGGAATAAAATTATGCCCTAACCTGGTGCACATACTACGTTCCGGTGTCCGCCATCATGGTGCAAATACTACGGGAGCGCTAATTTTACCCCCCTTTCTGTGGCTAGAACACAGAGATCACGAAATAAAATTAATATGATGAATCAGCACAAATGTTTAATGGTAATCCAAAAGAATTATTTCTTTTGCGAATTTATATTTCCCTGTGCGGGCCATAAAGCAAAACTTACTTATCCGACTTGTACTATTCGTTCGTGAGACATAAAAACGGGCAATGAATGACTATTCGTTCGTGAGACATGAAAACGGGCAATAAATGCTTTATTAAACAAGTTATTTCGTCCTTTAATTAAAGATATTCGAGAATAGTGGGCATTTGTTTTGTATGGAATTGATGACTGATACTATCCCGATAGTGATTGGGGGTTAACAGGGTAGTTGTTGATGGCTCAGCGTATTCGATAGTGATTGGGGGTTAACAGGGTAATTTTTGATGGCTCAGCGTATTTGTGGTTGTGGAGAAAGTATATTCCGACCTCTGTGATAAATCACACCGGCATATTGTGATATCCATTGAGTTTCTGTACTACTTATCCTTATTCTATGTTTTTGCCTTGTGGATTCTATGCATAAGATGCAATGCAAGAATGAAGATAACTATTCTAAGTAATGTTGTCTTCTGAGTATGACGTAACATTGCTTCGTTTGTATATTTTTCATTTGTCGTCCACATCAATCGGTACTCCCGTAGCGAGTACCAAATTGGGGTTAGGCGATGATTTTAATCTGATTTTCCTCAGTTTAGTTAAATTAAAGAGTTTGGGGACTATCTGTGTTAGCCAAGTGAATACACCCTCTGCCCATAGGTTTCAGTCCCTTTACACAACCTCCACCATACAGTGGCGTATCTAGGATGTGGCAGCCATGGCTCGTGCTATTGGCACCGTTTGAATAGAGGCGCAAACACGGCGAAAATTATTAATCATAAAAAGTTTCTATAAAATAATTGGGAATAACTGAAACGCGTATTTTTACTCAAATAATAACGTACAAGTATCTCAATTCAATAATAGTCATTATAAATTGTCAAACAACTATCGAGGGGGCGCATTTTTAGACTGTGCTATCCATGGGCGCCATTTTACGTAGATACGCCACTGCCTCCATATTGGTACATACGCTACTGGGGCGCTCATCAATTTTTTAATACGCCACTGGATTTACATTAGCCAGAATATAGGTTTCGGCGTCCCCGTTCACACTGAAATTGTTTTATATATTTCCTTTAATTTCTGTATGTATATTCCATATTTTCAGCATGGCCTAGAAATAAATTACTGATTCAACCATGTTTCTCTGTCGTTTCTTAAAATAATTTGAAGCGTTCAATAGTCAGTTTCTATTTACGATTCACTATACCTATATGAAAGTCGGTGGGTTCGCGGAAATGGTTTTTTGTTCAAGACGTTAGATGACCATATAAATGGGGAACTTGCACCACAGCTGACAACTAGAATTAGATTTTCAAAAGGTATGTATTAACCATAATAAAAAAAAGAAACATGAACCATAAAAAAAGACAAAAAATCCAAACTAAAAGGATAATAATGTCCATTAGATTTAGGTGAAGCGTATCATGTGTAGCTTACATAGTGAACAGGACCGGATCATGATTTCAGCTAACTCTAACCTGGTACTCATACTTTGGGAGTGCTCTTATTTGTTGGCAATTGGATATCGCACAATCAACCGTAGAATCGGGACTGACTGGTTCTGGTTTATATTATTGAAATATATATATATGTAGATAACGTGGTGACATATACATACATATTTCTAAAATTAGAGAACCTGTCATTGATGAGTTTGATACAAATCAGAACCTGGTCTCAAAATTTTGAATCTCATTAATGCTTGTATTTACTTCTTTGTAAGTTTGTTTCAATTCTGTGGATTATAAATTCGCTGATCCATTTCGATTCTTTCAATGGTAAGCATACATGGAAAGGTAGATTGATTCGCCATATAGTTTTAACAGTATTTCCGGCATTTGAAACTCGACGCCTGTATTAGGCAATTGCAACTGCATGAGTCATTATGGCTCGAATATTGGTAATTGACAGTATAGAGCGGAAATACTGATTGATTATGATTTATATTATCGAAACTGAATATATTCAACGTAAAAAGACCTGTAGAATTTGCGGATTTTTAAATAATAGGTAATACTTATTGTATGTGACCATTTGTTAACAACCAGGGGCCACTGTTCATTTGTAAGAAAGTCCCCCGTTCTCCCTATTTCCATTACCTGATACAGTTATTCCACGACCCATCTCTTGCCATTGAATCCACTCTGGCAGTGTTTGTATACTTAATGAGTGAATGGCCAGTAGATTAAAATTATCACATTTTGTGTACTTCATTCTTAATTCTTGTTTTTTTTCAAATAAGAACAATCGAATGTTATGTTTTGCACACTTTATATTTCATTGTTATTGGTATATATGCCTGCAGTTTAATGTACTACCTTAATCAATTTTCTTTAAATCATCGTTTGACTTTTTCATTGCATTTTATTACTGTTACAATAATTACGGGCCTCGCCGCTCGATAACCGGTATTGGTTTCTCGCGACTCCTTTCATCCCGAATTATCCGTTTTTGCATCTTTTTACAATCTGTATTCAGTCAGTGAATTTCATGTATAGTGTAAAAATTAACTACTAATCGATAAGGAGACACCAATCAAAATTGACGAATCACCGCGGTCCTCGCATTTTTTCTTGTACACACTGGTTTAACGTATTGCCTCAATTATGCTTCATGGTCTTATACAAAAAGGCGTCGCTAAAGGGAATGAATGATCAGTCATTCTTGCTTTGTGTTTTATGTTACCGATTTCCCCCAACTTACTGCCGTTGGAACACAAATGTTAGGAAAGAATATTCATACGATGATGAAAGTGTTCAATGGTAATACAAAATAATTATTTTTTTTTTGTGAATTTATATTCCCCCGTGCACAAAGCAAAACCCACTTCTTCAACTTGTACTGTTCTTGAGACATGAATACAGGCAATGGCTTTATAAATAATTTATTTTGAACGAATTTTGTTTTTGTCATTTTGTAATAGGTGATGTCGTAAGCATATTTTCTTTTAGGAGTTGATGATTGGTACTGTCCCGACACTGACCACCACAAAGCAATGAAATATTGGTAGTAAAAAGATTCGTTTCTTTCAAACAAAATTAATAACCGTTGGTTGGATAAAAGAGAAATTTTTATCCTAGCAAGAAAAACAACACATTAGAAAATTAGTGATTGGGCAATGACAAGGTACTTGACGAAGTACCTGATACTTCCGTGTATTTACGGTTTACTGACATATTGTGATACTGATTGAGTTTTTGTAGGTTCAACTACTCATCCTTATTCCATGCTTTTACTTTGTTACATTAATGAAATGCAATGCAAGAATGAAGTTATCTATTATAAGTGATTGTTGTCTTCTGAATATAACGTCACATTGCTTTGTTTGTATATTTTTTATTTGTCGTCCACATCAATCGGTACTCCCGTAGTATGTGTACCAGGTTAGAGTTAAGCCATAATTTCATTTATATTTTACTTATTTTAGTTGTATTACGAGTCCGGGGACTGGCTGTGTTAGCCAAGTGAAGGTACCCCCTGCCCATAGGTTTCAGTCCCTCTACACAACTTGATGTGGAGTAGGCAAACAAAATTAGTTACCTTCATATTGATACACACACTTCTGGAGCGCCCAACATTTTAATTTCAATATAAAAACCAAACAACACAAACCTTTTCTTCTACTTCAATAGTTTTATTTACGATTCATTATACTTGTATACAAGGGTGAGGGTCGGTGGGTTTGCAAGAACATTTTTTTGTTTTAGACGTTGGATGACCACATAAATGGGCAACTTGCATGACAGCTGACAAATAGCGTTTGATTTGGCTTTTTGAAAATTATGTATTAGATTTATGTGAAGCGTGTCATGTATAAACATTTACATTTATTGAAATGAGGGCACCGTTATTACTTATCGACCTCAAGATCGGTAAGTATGTTTGTTTGTCTTTTAGATGAACGCGATAGCTCACGAAGGCAAGGTTGAATCTGCTCCAAATTTTGCATGTGCATTCATCATATCTCGGACCAGATAAATTATGTCGTATAATTAGCGAGTTATTAATTAATTAGTGGTGGTACACGCGGTGTCACTATAGAATCATGAATCGAAACCGCAGTTTCGATCGATAAGTCTTCGGTCTCCGACTGATATTATCGTTAATGAGTTTATTACAAATCAGAACGTGTTTTTAAAATTTTGAATCTTATCAATGCTTGTGTGTATTTCTTTGTTTTAATTCTGTGGATAAGAAATTCACTGATCGATGTTAATCCTTTCAATGGTAAGCATATATAAATGAAGAGGTGGATTGATTCGTCATGTAGTTTTAACAGTATTTCCTGCATTGGAAACTCGACGCCTGTATTAGGCAATTGCAACTGAATGATCATTGCTCGATTATTGGCAATTGGATATTAAACAATTGACAGTAGAGAGCGGGAATACTGATTGCTTATGGTTTCTATATCGAAATTGAATATACTATTGAATATATGCTTCTAATTTTGGCCCTCGGTCAATAAACCTTGGACACCACGGGTATAGAGTTACACAATAGGTTTGATAATCTGTTGACGTGCGAAGAAGAAAAATGGGTGCTCCCGTAGTAGGTGTACCTAGATGGCGCACAACCTGAAGATAGTATATGCCCTGCAATGGCCAGGGCGGTCCTGACAGCCTCCGACCCACAATGCAATCGTTACAGTGTTCAGTTTCCTATGGCAACCTTGCTCGTTGACGTTCAGTCCGATCAGATGCAAAATCAAAAATTCCATTATCATTACCTGTATATACCAAAACTAGGCCAAGGAAATATGTGTCTCATAGAGCCCTGTTATAGCCAGCGCGGTCGAGATTATTTGCGTTCTGTATATATTAGCAATTCAAACGACTTCGACCATAATTACCCATAACGCAATCGTCACACGTGTTCAGTCTCCTGTGGAAACCTTGCTTGTTGACGTTCAGTTTGATCTGATGCGGTGCGTAATACACAACATTTTCATAGGACCTCCATCAAACCCCCGGTGCAGCTCCACCAAACCTCAGGAACCCGTTGTTAGTGGGTTCAACACAACAAAGAACCAGTTCCTAAATCCTGTCTGTATATATACAATGCTTTAAACCTTTTTAAGATTGTGAAGTTCGAGAATACTAAACATTTTAGTCAAACAGGGACACTTCTTTGACATATAGATTCGTCAATGCTTCTTGAAATAGGATTGGATTTTCGATTTATCACGGGTGGAGGGGCAAGAAAGTCCACAAGACGGCCGAGAAGTTCAGCAGTCCTTTTTTCACGTTGGCAGTTCGAGTTCATATAGTATAAGTTTGATATCTACCGATCTTGGTTAGGTATCCGTAATGTTTGTTATGATTTAGGCATTATCAGTCTTTGGCTTGAGGTTGATGTGAAATTATGGTTCAATCTCGCATAAATATTTAAATTTGTTAGTACAACCTTGATCGTTCAGCTCCCAATCAAAGCTAGTTTTCATCTCAACGCAATCTTGATTACCGCCATAGCTGTCAGGTTGATCATCATGCCATGGAATAGAACCTGCAGTTGCCGTAACACCATCTTCCCAGATAAACGCGTTTTCCTCTTGAATGTCGTTCAAACCAATCCAAGTGGAGGATCCTCCAGATTTGACCAAGTGTAAGATTTCTCTGAAAACAAATATATCGTCTATATCTGTCATTATTTATATGACAATTTCAAGCTAACTTAAGTACGTATTTGGGCGTTCCAGAAGTATGTGTACCAATATGGAAATAACTAATTTTGTTCGCCTATTTTACATCAAGTTCTGTAAAGGAACTAAAACCCATGGTCGGGGTGATATTCACTTGGCTAACAACGACAGTCCCCTAACTCGTAATAGAAATTGGACTAAAATTATGGCCTCCCGCTAACCTGGCACACATATTACGGGAGTACCCGTATTTGAGTTGGGAGTAGGAATGGCCAAAACCGAATTTGCTTAGTATTCGAGCACCTAAGTATACAAACTCTTAAATCTTTTCAAAAAATATAATATAGGCAAAATTGGACACTGGATCTAAATATCATTCCAAATTGTAGTTAATTTGAACTTTATTCTTTAGTATTTAGGAATCTGATATACAACTTTCTACGAACGAGACTGAATTGTTTGAATGAACTGAGCAACACCTGTTTAGATAATTCAACGATTATTTTCGATTTCGGTCATAAGTCCCTTGTTCATCCCAACAACCCAAATTACCTGTGAACATCTTCATCTCGAATTCCGGCTGATGCCAGTTGGCCTCCAAGTCTCTTACAATTCGCCTTCGCCTTTGCGTAAGTGGTCTTGCCGTGAAATAGTTTGTAGTAATAGTTGTTTTGAGCTTGATACCATGTGCTAATCTGCTCTATTCGTTCCACTTTTGTCGTAAGACTTCCCAGTTGCTCTTGGATTTGCTGCGTCACTGTAAAGTGAATTTTGTTTCATTTATTATCGTGTCTTCGTTATTTAAAGAGCAATAACCTCAGTAATTTAATATGAATATAAAAAAGATGCTTTCATCTCAAGTAGTATATATATGAAATCCTAATATTATGCTCAACTCATTACAATACGATAATATTAAAATAATCATGAATCGCTCAAAATATTTTAGTTTTGTTATTCGATGTTTTCATTCAGTTTTGCTCGTCAAAATTTACCTGATGTCAACCCTTCAACTGCTGTTTCGATTTTATTCAGCTTTGCTTGAGTGTGTCCGGATACTTTAATTAAAAAAGAAATAATGATAAAAAGTATTTAAAAGCCGAAAATCTTTGCAGGAAAATTACAATTTGTTACAACCTTTATGAGAGAAGGCCTCTATCGCGAACGATCGCTCCAACCAAGGTTCCAGCCTCGTACGTTCAAGTTTAACTAAACTTTTTTTGTCTTATTGGACACGAAGTGTAAATATGGATCGTTTTGTTATTATACTGCTATGAAAAATGCGCTTTTCTCATTAACTAATGGACCAATTGCTTTTAAGTTTTCACTGGTTGAGAATTGTATTTTTCAATGGTTATCACTTTTATTTATTGCAAAAATTTCTGTCGACTTCATGGGATTCGTTCATTGTGTGCTATGACGTCATCAAAAATTGCGCACCTTGTGGAGGTTCCGCAATGACGTTAGTCGTGAACACCGCTGTACCTACTATTTAGTTTTGAGCCTCATATTTGCGGATGGATTTCATGTTTACTTAGACGAGTATTTGACATTTACCTGCTTTCAAATTCTCTATGTCCTCGCTAGATTTCTCAACAACCGGACCAATTTGAGTCAGCTTTTCTTGTATCTGTCCGGAAATATCTGAACAAAAATTTATCCGACTTGAGCGTCACATAGTATTTCAAAAATATATAAAACAAATGTAATTCCTATATAAAGATTACGTTATCGTCATGTTTAGTTTCAATCATCTTTGTAGGATCCAAATTAGAAGTGGACAAGAGGAAAGGACTTCCAGTTCAATGCAAAAATGCCAGTACCCTCAGTATTAGAAAATCTATGCATGGTGCAGCGGCATATTGACCACCAATGTCTTTGTTGTGTTTAACTTCACCCTAACATGGCGAAACAAAGGCCGACCTTTCGAATCACTCACTATATTTACTTTATTTGATTACACACTTCACAAATCATTCATATAATATGACGCTTGTTTGACGTCATCTGCTCCTAAACTCAGCGAACACGTGACTCGGATGGTCGTTCGCGACTAGGGATGTAAGTTTCGAATATTTTATTTTAGAATCTGATTCTATTTAGTATAACATCATAATATCGTTGAATCTCCTTAGATTTAGAAGAACTATAGCATAAAGTGTGATTAAATAACAATAATGAACTTGAAGAATGAGTCAAGTTAGTGCAAGAAAACATTAAATTGATGCTACAACTACATAATATATTAGAGAATATGTATTATTGCTATATAGAGTTACACTCAATTATATTTACTTATTACATTAATTTATGTTCGCAAACAATACCGGATGTATAGTGATCTTCTAAAATTCATCCAAATGATAAACGTCAGTGAAATATGCGTTAGTACCGCTTGCGCCGTGATTTTAACAAAAGCAAATGATAACGAGGGAAGCATCGCAGGCCTATGTTTTAATGCGGAAACTTAAGTAATTTAAAGACATGTTCATATAGTAACATATTTGTTTTGAATAGTTGAATAACATTTTGAATAGTCTAAAAATAATTTAACGAAACCATTGTTTCTTCTGAGGCGGTGACTCATATGAAATATAACAACCCCCGGAGTGTTACGACTTGGGAACGCTGCAAGCGTAGGGAAAATGAACGTTTTTGTTCGATGATAAGACAACGCTGCTGCTGCAACGTTCAATCGCCTCGTGTTATCTAAATCAGTCGTTCTCAAAATTTTTTAGTCCCAGAGCCGCATTTCAAACCTCAAAGTTACGAAGAGCCGCACACAAACAACGCAAGGTAAAATAGCAACAAATCAAAATACCAAATCATCGTAACAACAACACACGTAACAATTAGTGCTGGGCAAAATATTCGAATAAAAAATATTCGAATGGCATTTTACTATTCGAATATCCGGTACCACGCGACCTGCGCCGCTCTGCTTGGACACCGAACTCGCGCGTCTCCAACTCAATCGTGAATTGTGCGCCTAACGGCGCTCGCTATCAGAAAATAAAATGACATGCGTTATATGCTTTTGCACTTAACGTATCGTTTCAATTCAAAATTTTGCAAAAAACTTACCGACCGTTCCGTAAATTTAGAAACGTCAAACCAGATTAGGTATTTAATATAAATTACCCAGATTTTAAACTCCGCATGATTGCTGACATGCGATTAGCTATTTCTTGCATTACCGAACATAAAGTTGATTAAAATTGAATGTTAAAATGACTTTTCGGCGTTTCATCGTGAAAAAGGCGAATTTAGGTCGTTAGAAAACTCTAGTTGTATAAATAGCATGGATTTAAAAATGACCAAAAGTTTTTCAAAAGCTGGTATGAGTTATTTGTATGAAAAACACTCATTAAGTTGTAACCAGATGAGAAATGTCATGTCCTACTCTCTTTAAAGCCATGTCCTACTCTCTTTAAAGCACTTTGTATTAGCTCTTTAGTGATCCCTTTCATCCTTGGCCAAGTAATGTTTCGAATATGTAAACATTTTACTCGATCATGCATGATGGCCGTTGCGCCGAGAGTGGGACCTAAAATCAATCGTGAATTTCGTTGTAACAATGCACACTGACTCGTTCACAAATTGTTGCGTCTATTATCATCGAAAATGATTACAATTGTTACATTTTGAAGTATTTGGGCTGTAATAATTAAGCCTTAAGGCATGACATAATCAAAATCATTAAGTGAAGTGCTGAATTTGCAAATTCCGTAAAGAAAATTGAGCATCACTCAGTAGTCAGTAAGTATTTTAGCTATAATAACCATCTGGGTGTTGTTTTGTTGAAAAAAAAGGTTAAAACTTGAAGGAATTAGTTATAATTAGTGTCTGACCCTCTATTAGGCAAAATGCTTAGAAATGCCTTTATTGCCAATTTATTTAATCGTTATTTTAAATCAACGTTCAGGATTCACGCAACTGTAAATTTGCTAGGTTTATCTATCTAACACTAAAATAACACGGAAACCATAGAAAAGCATGATAAACTCGTTTATCATTTTAATAAATATCTGCATCTCGGTTACCGTTCACTTTAAACAGGCACGGTTAATTTACAAGCGGCGATAAGTAAGATCGAATCCAAGGCAGAGGATAAAACTCAGAATAAAATTAATTTGGTTTTTAAAATCAGCCCTTAAATGTATTCAACAGCTGTCGCTGATGTGAACGCAAAGGTATACTAGAAATATAAAATTTCAATATCCGGCGACCCCTTATTCTTGCAAAAAAACAAGGAAGGGCGGGAATATAGAATACCAACTTTAGGATGTCGCCGCTGAAACAATCGCGGTGACAAAGACAATCAGCGATTATGATGAAATTACCCATGAACCAGTGCAAAAAACGCTTTATTGCCGACTTTTCAATGTTTCTACTAATTTCCAAATGGAGTATCGACCTCCGACGTTCTGGATCTCTGTTATGTATAAAAAATATTCATTATTCGTTATAAATATTCAAATTATTCGATTCGAAAAAAGATTCGATTTTGCCCACCCTAGACTAACAGCCATTTAATTTGGCTTTGATTTCTCATAAGTTTGTCAAAGCGGGTCGAAATCGTGGAGGATGCAAGGTTATTTGATTTATGCATAATATTCGGAAATGCGACAAAAACTGAAAATCCACGAAAGCAAACCAATGATTACAGCCATGTCTAATATCTTTCCAAGTGAAAAGTTTCCGAGTGGCCGCGAAAACGCTTACTGTTGCGTCACTATTGCATCTTGTAGATTAGTCAACGCTACGCAAATAAACACGGGGAATCCATTCGACTAACTAATAGACTTCCGCATTTTAATTTCAAGTCAATGATTAGTTTTCAATGGAAAATTTAGTTTGAAAGTTATTAATTTTTAAAGCACTAACAAGAGCCGCAGGAAAGGTTGTCAAAACCCTAGTTTGAGAATCACTGATCTAAATTATTATTTTTTAAATACAATCAAGCCGTTTTCTTTCAGATTGCTTCGAATTGATGTTGATCCGATTCGAAATTCTGAAAGTTACATCCCTATTCGCGACCCTCGTTAATTGTGGAAATATTATAAGTCTATTTTTTGCACCTAGAATATATTTTTTGCCTAGAATCCTCCGAAGGAACGAAAAATATCTAAAAACGACTTCATTAACCACAATAGCAATTTCAAGAAAACAAATAAAAATCATATACTCAATTCGTAATCACATACCATTGAAATGTTCTTTTATAGTTTCGTTTACGACTCTGTAATTTACAACACCAGGAGGCCCTTTTGGCCCAGCTTTTCCTTGTTTAATTCTGGGACTGATTTGAACGGAATGCTGGTCTCTGTTTGTGCAATACAGATGCATTTGCTGGTCCTAAAAATGTAAACTGTTAATAAAATGTAAATATGTGGAGCGTAATACAACAATTATAAGTGGAGTATGGTCAACTCTAGCATGTTCCAACATTAGTGGTGATCATTGGGGTCAGGTACAGGAGCGTGTCAAACTTTCTCGCTGCCAGGGGAGAGTTTTCTGTTAATGATCACTTATATCTTCATCCAAAAATAATTTGGGAAATTAACAAAATATAGATGATAGATGTTGTTACACATAAGAATGAATAACGAGGCTGCCCCTCTTATTTGTGATTAAATGAGTTTTTCATTCCGGCCACTGGTATCTATTAGTAAGCACAATATAAACATATAACGCGTGATATAATGCACTTTTGGTTTTCTAGTATAGTCAACTGTTGTATTTTACGATATTAATGAGATTCAATAAAATATGACTACCAGAACAAGAGAGCGATGCTCAAATATATGGACACGAAGAATATAGCGAAGCAGTATTCTACCGTACATTTTACACTCCGGGCGCGGTAAAAAACTTTTGCGTAACAATGGGGTTGCACGAGAGATGTCGAAAAACCGCTACAAGTAATTTATATCAATTTTCAAGAGGTCATCATTTAGAGCAGTGGTTCCCAAACTGTGAAAAAAATTAATTTTGAAAAAAATACGCGAGTTACTTGATCTCAAAAATCGGTTGTCAGATAAGATGCAAAAATCCATCGACAGTCACCAGTAATGCTAACCGGTTCGCTGATCTCATAAAATTCCGCGAGACGGTTCTATAGAATCGGTGCAAATCGGCTGAATCCCACTACTGAGTGACAGTGTTACGAGTGCCAATATTATTTTCTTTTTAAAAGTTTTTTTGATCCTGTTACATCCGAATTTGTAGTGGACCCGCTGGTAGGCAAATCGGATTTTGCCTGGCTGCGAGAAATTATGTTGGTTTGTTATTTTGTACTAGTGTGGCCGCTTGGTTATCAAATATACAAAGCAAAGTTGCTTTATTTGGCGATTGGCCCTTAACTAGGTGTTTGACAAGTATGGTATTGATTGCCAGGCGGTGTCTTGGCCGAGTAATTACACTCTTCCGATCAGCTGCGAAAGCGCTATGTTAATTCGCGCACGTGTCTAAATATACGAGTAGACTAAATGTTTTTGCCCCATCGCCTCCACATAAAAGTGAACATTTTTGTATTGCAATATTACGTGGTTAGACGTTTTATACACAATTTGGAAGCGTTTCGAGCAGTCAAACACAAAACTACAACAAGTTCTAACATAATAAAAGGTACTTAAAAGCTATGAATAATGAACTAAAAATTGAAACTAAAAGTAATAAGGACACTGTTGGAATATACTAAATAAGATTTTCAATTTATGTATATTTAAAAGCAATCTTACTATTTCCAAAGTATCGTACGCTCACTTATAATCTACCACATTTTATCAAGTCTATCGATGTTTCGCCAAAGAACCGTTATAATTCTGATCTAAGGGATTTTTTACGCCGTGGTTTACAAATCTTCTGAAGTTTTTCCGGCGCATTGATGAACTTTCGTATATTTTTTTAGGTCAATGATCATCGTCAACGCCCGCTTGCAATCCATATACAGGTACATTGTTCAAATTGAGGCAATTGAAACTGTTCTACTGATTTTTTAAGTTGCTGAAAGTTTCTAGTTGTGGGATCGCGAGTATCTGTAGGCTTTGATTTTGTGAAAACTGGGGAGACTAAAAAAGAGACTACGTATTTACATTACAGTATTCATACCTATGAGTTATGTTGTATCTAGTGAGACATAGAAAAAAGTGCAACCATGCTGTCAGTGAAGGGTTTCAAATTATGAAGTAAAATCAAAGTCCTTAATATAGCACACACTTTTTGACACTGCTAATTATCGTTATACAATCTGTTTGTTTATCATTACCGTGAGTGTTATTTAGATTATCGACGTCGTTAGCTTTGTTAATTTTTTTTTGCTCACGTAACTATGCGTTAATCAGAAAAACGTAAAGTTGTAACGCGATCATTGTAGTAATTAAATAGGTGAACCAATTCCCAAATTTCCATACGCCAATGACGGAGAAATGAGACCGAATGTCGTGTTCGCTAATATTTTATGACGAATGTTACTTTCTTATTTTGTTCTTATGATTACCGCCAACTCAAACTAAACTATATTATCAACAACGCAGAGATAACAATAAAATCAGCGATAGATACTAAATAATATTTAAGAGCTACCTAAACTGAGGATGAAAATTACAATTACGACGACACAATTTGCTTTCACATTTATAGCAATAGCGAGCAGACTGTCTCAACTATGTTAAAACATACGATGATAATTGTAAAATAATTTCAATCCAAATGTCTTCGGCGTGTTAGAAGTACTTGGAACTTTAATTTATTTCCGCGCCACACAGGGCTCTCTTCGATTAACAAAGTCGTAAAAAATCCGAATCCAATCTATTTATAATCGAGCAGTTTATCGCGTATTCTATGTCCCCAGATCTCCGTGATAGTAGTGCTTTATTTTACCTTGAGTCGATGTAAAGGAGAGTTTTGACGAACGCAATTAAATTAATATGGCAATACATTTTAAAAGCTCGCACATGCCATGGATGGAATATTTTACGAAACACAGAAATCGTCCGTTATTCCCTGCAAAAGTCGTATTTTTTAAACCGAGAGAACGTGTATGAACTAGATTATTTTGGCGAGAGCACGCGTGTGCTAGCTTGTGTGCGATGCGCAAGTTTCTATCGAGTAAGTACTCATTCAATTAAGCGGCGAAAGCGGTGTCGAACATGTGTGATGTATAATCAAAAATCTGATATTCTTATGGACGCTAATTCCGATATTCGAAGGGCGAGATATTCAAATTGGCCATCCCATTCTTAATCAGTGAATATTGAATAGCTTAAATACTAACTACCAATGCAAATAAATTAATTAAAATTGGTTAGTTGTGCTGAAATGACTCGGGGCTATTTAACTCAATATGTAGCGTGATAAACAAGGTATGGCGGTTTAAATTTCTAAGAAAATCTAAATTTACTGGCTGGAATCCGTTTAATATCATTAATTTGAAAAACAACAGTAAAATCTCACTAAAATAACAATATTAATACTATTTGATAGCCTTGTATACCTCGCCTTTTTGTACATTTGTCAGTACCCGTACGATAAAAAAAACTTCCTACATTTGAGCGGGTCGAAAAAGCGCTACAAATTGATTGTATTAATTTTCAAAAGGGTCATCACACAAAATTTTACGAAACACGAATTACATAGAGCCCACATAACGTTTTGAAATGAATAAGTAATAGCCTCAAAAAACACATCTTAAACCCCTAGAAATTTTTACAGAAATTGATACAGTATTTGATGAGAAAATCGATATTTTACGGTCACAAGAAAAATACCCAAGTGATTCAAGAGTCTTGCTGCACTCTAACACAAATATATTTCTGTAACGTTTAGTCCTTCAGACATACATAGTTCAACAATATGGTGTGTCTCGCAGAAACCAAATCATTAGCGCAAGAAAAATACCAACAACATAACGAGAATATCGGTCGGGGACCGAAGACTTATCGATCGAAACTGCGGTTTCGATTCATGACTCTATAGTGACACCGCGTGCCATCAATAATTAATTAATAACTCGCTAATTATGCGACATAATTCATCCGAAATCAATAGGCTTCTGGTCCGAGATATGATGAATGCACATGCGAAATTTGGAGCAGATTCAACCACGCCTTCGTGAGATATCCCGTGCATCTAACAGACATACAAACAGACAAATACCTATCAACATACTTACCGATCTAAAGATCGATAAGTAATAATTACAAAACAATCCATAGGTCCACCTTGTGCCTCTACTTTTCGCATTTTTGTTTCCAGTTGACTAATATATATGGTGTCTCAAAAGTAAGTATACACTTTAATTATTTTTAAATTGCTTTTCAATTACTCATCATAGAGCGCTCATTTCTTCAGGAAACATAGTATGGATAACTAGTAAAATTTAGGTAATAATTGCATTTTTCATCAATACACAGGATGAAAAGGAGATTAACCCAAGAAATGAGGTGCAAAACTGCTGTTTGGCAGAAAGCTTATAAATCAGTAAGAAAACTGAGCGCCACTTTAACAGAGAATTTGGTATTAATCAGTTGCTACATGCCGAACAATTTATGCAACTCATTGTAAATTTTTACAAACTGGATCTGAAGTTGATGCACAAAAATCAGGGAAACAAAGGAGCGGACGCTCTGAGGAAAACATTCAGAGCCGAATTAATTCCAAATTCTTTTTTAAAGAGGCGTTGAGTTTTCTTACTGATTTATGTGTGCTTTCTGCCAAACAGCAATTTTGCACCTCATTGGTTGGGTTAATCTCCTTGGTATTCTGTGGGTTGATGAAAAATGCAAACAATACCTAAATTTTACTACTTATCCATATTATGTTTTGTGAAGAAATGAACGCTCTATGATGAGTACCTGAAAAGCAAATCAAAATTGAAAGTGTATACGTACTTTTGAGACACCCTGTATAAAGGCGGAAAGCATGTTTTCAAATTTGCTCGTAAACAAACATATATTCGCTTTTCAGGCAGGGATGGCCAATTCGAATAAAGTATTCGAATGTCTCGTTATTCGAATATCGGAATTAGCGTTCATAAGAATATCGAATATTTGTGTGACGTCACACATTTTCGACGCCGCTTTCACGACGTTTCCGTTGAATGAAAACATTCTCGATCAAACTTGCGCGTGATTGTTTTCATCACTCATCAGCGTAACGTGCTATTTAGGCCGTAAACGCCTTTACGTTTGTGTTATTTTCTCTAAAACGAAAATTTCACACAAATTTTTTCCACGATAACGATGACAATTATTTATTTTTGTACGCGCACGGAATTGTGAATCTGATAAATACGTTCATCGGCGGCGAGTTTCTAAAGACAACGCAACTTTTTGATTGAAAAGCGACAATTTAAAATACTGAAAATAAAACCGTAAACAACCCGCGAAAATTTAAAAAACGCTTTTCTAGGCAGTGGAAATCGCAAAATTTCGTGTGCCTCTGGCACACATTATGTTTGGTCGGCGTTTAGAAACATATCGTCACGAATTGAAGGCGTGATTTGCCTGATTATCCATCACTTTAAATTGTCGTCGAATATTTTCGTGTTAACATGATACAAGGTTTGGAACGCGACTTTTCCCCGGGCTCTGAGGATGTATATATAAAATTAATCTAAAGTATATTCAATCGATTTTATTGTGATAAAATGAATTTACAGCAGATTTATGAATTTTTCGAACGTTTTTTTTTATATAATCAGAGTGGCAGCATTTCGATTGAGCGGAGTCACTGATAACAAGTACATCTAAATATTTGCCGAATTCGCAAAATACGGATCAAAACATTATTTAATTGGGCAGTTTACCACACGTTTTTATTTTTATGACCGCGGATTGCAATGGTATATGAGAGTGGTGAGGATTTCATTTTGTCGACGCAACCGCAGGTTAAATTGAAGACAATTTAATTAATAAAGCAAGACATTTTAAATATGCCCGTATCGGTCACGAATTCATCACTTCGCACCACAGAAAAATATATATTCGTTGTTATAATATTTGTTGTAGAAGTCGACTCTTTTAACAGGTGGCATAATCGCGGCGATGAATATGTATTTTTAATTTACTGCTAAACTCTATATGTATATTCTTTGTATGAAATGAATTATACTCTAGTATAATTCGAGGATTCTATATCATAATTTGCGATTTTTCTAACGGCGATAACGAGTTGGCAAGATTGCAAAAATACGTATTAAAATTAAATACATCAGGCAGTTTATCTCGTACTTTTAGGCCACAGATCGCCGTGGACCGAAAAATAATGTTTTTTTTTTGACGTAAGAAGAAGCAAACGCGAGTTACGTTGGACACATTAAGTTATTATATAAAAATATTTTAGAATCTCATAGTTGTCATGGATTGAATATTTTACGTGACAGGATGATCATTATACGCCCAAAAGACGGCTTTTTTACCGTGCGCGGAATCGCGATGGGTGTAACAGGCGGCAATGGGAATTACCGATTTCGAAATTCCTGGCTGCGCGGCTGGCAGTGGTGGTCATCTATGCTCTACTATTTTATTTCTAATTTCAAACACAACAATATGTTACACATAATAACAATATGGCTCACATAAATTAATAGACAAATATACTGGTAGGTAGTAGAATACTCTAGGCTTAAATATTAGAATTTTTAAAGGCATAATGGATTTTCGATTGTTGTTGGTTGTCTCAGTTGCCTGTATTGCTAATAAATTTTATTATTCTCAGAAAATATACACAATTATCTGAATACAAGTAGTATTTTTGTCAATAGACTATTATCGTAATATCATGGTACCAATGATAGAAAGCATCAGACAACTCCTTGGCTATCTTTTCATATGGTCATTTGTACAATGTGAACAATTTTAATAAACTGACTGTGTCACAAGTTGCTATTATTTTTTATTGATAGCTATAAACTATCAATTACTTTGTGTACATATACTGTTGGTTTGTGGCTTTATTCTGATATTTCTATTGAAGCTTATTTCCTAATTTACTGGGTTTTAATAAACAAAAACGTGTTATTTTCGATTTTAGAATGTATTCGGAATTACAGATTCGAAAACAATATTTTAGAATATATTTGGAATAGTTTAGTATTCGGAAATGGCCATCCCTGTTTTCAGGTTTTACTTTTTTTAATTAGTATATTTTTTTGATTTTTAGTATATATTTATGATTTATATATACATCATAGAAAAGCGCATCCCGATTTTTTTATTCGAATGAGATTTTTATATACGCGTTTTACGAGGCCACTAATATGGCTCATTACGCATAAAAAAAAATCTGCAACAAGACACTTAAAAGCAGCATATGTAATATCGCACTTAAACATATATTTTCGGGGTTTAAGGGTCTTGACAGTTATTTTTGTAGTTTTTATGAGGCCTTCCAACGCCTCGTCACCAAACAATGCACTGTACAAGTAGCCACAGATACATAAGAAAACTGCACTTTTTTGCAGTATGGAATCGGGGTTGGCGAATACTGAAAAACCTCCGTACCTAATCGCTTGACAGTTGTATCCGTACTAAAAATCATTACATGAAATCGTACATTATTCAAACAGTGCCATACCGTTGATCAAGTCCTCGGCGTAAATATTTTTCGAATGAGGTAAAGGGTTAAAAAAAATTGATGTCATATTTTGAATGTTATGCCGCTCACCTGCGAACTTTGTTCGGGGATTCGTTGTCCATGTGATATTCCAACGCATAGTATCACGAGTATCCAAGTAAAGTACATGATTCCTACACGGTATCAATACTTTGAAAAACTAACAATTTCTGAATTAGAAATGAATTTAAGTATCGTACCAAGATGGCGCACAACCTGAACCCTAACACATACCAAGTTCAGGTTGATCGCCATCTTGGTACGCATACGTCGGGTGTACCCAAAAATCTAACCGTTCGACATGAATATGATATCAATATTTTAGAAAACTAACAATTTCTCAATTAGGACTAACTGAGGAAAATTGCCCTAAACAGAAAGCTCTAATTTTTTATTTATTTATTTGATAAATACGTTGCTACGTATAATTCGTGACGCGAAATCTGAGTCGACCCCGTAATCTGATTTGAAACCGATCATAATTCTTTATTCCTGCTCTACACAGTAACTTGATTAGAACTTAGCTACAACGAGTCAATTTAAAAAACTGAAACTTTTATAAATTCCAATATACAATAACCACATACGTGCTTGCGAATAATCCTTGCTCAAGGCGAAAATGTGAAACATTTAATAATAAAGGTTTCTTAAATCTAAAAAACAAGCCAACCTAAAACATATTCGATCTGGTAGAAACACTTTTTCCCGCCATACTGGTAAGTCGTATTTCATCTTCTCCCCAAAGATAAATATGGAAAATCACATTATATCCTAAAAACTCGAAACGTAGTTTATAGGGGCCTGCATAGTGAAACGGCAAAACTTTGTAAAAGCTGTATTGAGAAAATTAGTAAAACGTATGTTTTCGATTTTTAAAACTCCTGTTAAATTCCTATTGAAATACCTACATGCCAATTAAAGAAAACTTATTTCTTTGCCATATTATGAAATGAAACTTTATGGAAATTTTTAGGTTTGCTATATTGTTTTGAAACTCTAAATATAATAAGCAACCACGAATCGCTCTGAAAATGGGCTCATCAATTCATGATAAAATCACTGTTTGATTGTCTAGGCTCTGCAGTCTTGAGAAAAAGAATTATATTTTATGATTTATTTTACTACAATGCGTACTTTGATATATTCGGAAATGAATCATTATCTATCTTTGACGTATTGCTTAAAATGTTAACATGAGATTAATCGCTACCAAAGCCTATTGTATGCTAAAACAGAAATAAATTTTACCTCTTGAGTAGCAGGTTAGTTCACGGTTGCTTGGCATCAATATCATTTGCAGGATTATCTGTTATGTAGAAGGCTTCCTTCCAACATGTCCACTATATCGGGTCCAGCAGACAACAAAAGAAACCATTTCACGTTTGGGTGGTTCGCGTTTAATTTCAAAATAAACTTTTCGGTCCGCGACAGACACACACCTTCTATGTCTATGATATGGCTGTTTGAAATGAAAGTTTAATGTAATATAAGTTATAATATAATCCGCAGTTAACACAGCTATACATGAATGGTTTGCTGTAAATGACAATTGGCGTCTATCCAGTGAGCGATTAACAGGTAAAGAGCAGTTGAGTAAATTCATCGTGAGCGTTTTCGGTTTCGTAGATGCCTAGACTAGACCAATATCACGAGTCAGTGAATCAATGTCCACTAGCGGTGATACCCAAGAGCTGAGTGGCCCCAGCAAGAGGGGTACTATCCCACTAATATTGAAACGCTGTTCGGGACTCAGTAACATTCACTTCTGTCACAAGCGAAAACTTACAGAATGGGACATTAAATGAAAGACCGGACGTTGAAAAGCAAGGCTGCTATTTTCACCTCATTCAGGCCATAATGAAGAATGTGCGCTACAAAAATTTGACACATCTCTACAACGAGTAAGTGGTTGAACATATACATGTCTTTGTACATCTCTCACTTCTTTTGCTTTAATTTGATGTTTTATTTTGTTTAAGGGACGCTGGAGTAAAAGACCTTTTCAACCACGTCATAGTGTTATGCTACATAACGGCGATGTTTATTTCATCCAGATTTAAATCTCTAAAATGCAAACTCTTGATCAATTTTTCTGATAAAGAGTTCATGATGCCGCAGTAAGAATTGCGATCAGGAACGAGGTACAATATGGGATAAAATTCTCTAAATGGATACCAAGAATAAAGCACTGAAAGCTGAAAATAACTTGAAGAGATGTTGGCATGAAGGAAGTACTCGAACGGGTGTTACGCTCCTTGAGAGCATCGACGAGGTCATAGCTGAAGATGAGGTAATTAATCATCAAGACCCCAAAGATGCCTAAGTTTAGGTTAAAAGTTAGTTTGACTTTACCAGGTATTGAAATGTGAGAAGGCGAATATTTTAAGGATGGCTTTATACATACGACAGTGAATGATGAAGTTGGACTTCGATGCATTTTTGGCCGAAAAATCTTAGCAATGACGCTATGAGACCAACTCGCTTGCAGATTCATCATAAAACAAAGCATCCTGCCAATCACAAAAGCATTTGGCCCTTTTTTAAAGCAAAATTGAGGGGCGGTGCGTCAACTACCCCAAGGATCTCACAAAATAGAAAAACTTTTACGTCAAATAAATGAAAAGATTGCACACACGTATTTTCCGGGTTGATGCAGGTAAAAGATCATTAAGAAAACTTGTATTACAGTCAAAGTATTTGTTGTACAGTCTTAATATTTGTTGCGTTATAAACAACTGCTTACTTTCGTAATTATTTTAAAAGAAATACCAGAAGTAATGTCCAACGTTCTCTTGGACATTCTTGGCAAAGGTTATGAACATGTTCAACAAATTGTGGACAGGCGATTTTAATAGGTCGCCCTTAACGCAATATGAGTGGCGAAAGAAAAGGGAGTCGTAAAATCACGGGACATGTTTTGCACATCATGCGAGCTACTCCCCTATCGACAAAAATCCTAACAAGAATTAAAACCAGTGCAGAATACGTAATTTTTCTGCGACGTACTACAGACTACTGTACATACGTTTAAACATGTCAATGTGTGTAATCATATTTAACTGCTCAAACCCGCTGTTGTCTCAGAAAATCGAAAACAAAATGTCCAGCATAATACTAAAAACCTCACAAACGAAGTCGTGCAAAACAATCACTCATTATTAGGGCTCTGAGGATTCGATTATCTTTAAATTTGTTTGTAAATAATCACTTCCTAAATGCCCGTTTTTGTTTTGTTTGTTTTTTGTATTGCATAGAAGCGTGAGCGGTATCGGGTAGTCAAGACGAAGTAGCTAATTTGTTGTATGCTGAGAATAGGCTGACTTTCGGAAAAGCGGTTATAGTACTGGAATCACATTGCGATAGTTACTGGAACAATTTGGCAGTGATAGCAACGAAGCACTTTTTAATGACTGTGACAGAGTCACGACAACTGGTTCTCGAAATATTACCAGACGGTATGAGCAGCGGCAACATGGCTAGCGTTTGCCTAGAGATGGGAAATTGCCCGATTTGCATTTCGTCAAAGGGGTGACGGATGCTTGTGCCGCGTATTGATTTTGTGGTGCTCGGTCATGATGTCAAATGGGTACTGCATACAAGCAAGGCACTTGCGCTCGCAGTGATTAACGAGAACTGTTAGTTATTTTACAGCGTAATGATGTTGAATTCGTGGACATGGGATATCACATGGCTGAAGTATAGGCAAATCATAGAGGCTACAGACGTTTTGGCTGGTACCGTTCCGGAGTAACTAAAGACTACTTTTTTACACAAAATTTAAAATTGCAGAAGTAATGTCTAACGTTCTCTCGGACATTCTCGGCAAAGGTTATGGACATTTTCAACAAATTGTGGACAGGCGATTTCAAGATCAAGAGGTCGCGCTTCATGCAATATTGCGTGGAGAAAGAAAAGGGAGACGTAAGATCACGGGAAATATCCTTCCCATCAAACGAGCTTCCCTATTGACAAAAATTTCAACAAGAATTAAAAACAGTGCAGAATATCGTAATTTTTCTGCGACGTTTTACAGGCTGCTGTACGTACATTTGGACACGACAATGTGTGTAATGATAATTGAGCAAGTCGAAGTAGCGAGTTTCTTATATTCTGATTGCTGAGAATAGGCTGACCATCGGAACAGGGATTACAGTACAACCACATTGGGATAGTTAGTAATAGTTACCGGAAAAATTTGGCATTTATAGCAACGAAGCACCCTTTTATTCATGTAACCGTGCGCTACAGCGGCAACTTGGCTATCTTTTGCCTACAGGTTGAATTAACATTATTTCTGTGGATTTGACAACATAATGCAGCCACGGCTACTGCGATGCCCATTACGGCGACAATTGTCCGAGGTACATTTTGACGAAAAGGTGCCGAATGCTTGTGCCGCAAGTCCATTTGAATGTGCCTGGTCAATAAGCGGAATGGGTTCCATATGCAGGTAAGGCACTTGCGCTAGCAGTATTTAGTGCAGTTGTTCCACAACGTGGAATTCATGCACATGGGACATCACATGGCAGAAGAACTTCAATTGCACTGAGGCTTCAGACTTCTGGGATTGTACCGACCTGAAGTTACTAAAGACGATGTAGTGACACAAAGATTTAATTTACACACTAGCAAAGTTAACCCTAAAATGTCAACGCCGTACAAATGTATGAATTTGAGCCCGACAATGAGATTGAACAAATCATTTAATTGCTACGATTCCGAATTTGTTGTCAATTTAGTACTCTTTGAATAGCACATTACGTATTGTAATTTTTGTCCTTTGTGTATTAATGTGCATGGCTGTTTTATTATATCTTTTTTGTTACAAAATCACTGTTAATATCTTTGTTTGTATTATGTATTCATCATTCAATTCATGCCGTTCTTACTTTTTTTTAATTTAGTACGCTTTGGCGACACCTTTCCTTTTACCATTTTTATTCTTTGTACGTTAATGTTTTGTTTAACAGATACAATATTTTACAAATAGTATATAGATTTTGGATTAAATGTAAATAATTGTATTTACGAACTACATAAGCAAACGAATGTGCAGTTACTGCAATAACTTGCAAAAATATGAAAATCAAAACGATGAAGAAACATGTGATGAACATTCTTTATCTGTAAGTAACGTCTTTTTCTAAATGAATAAAGGGTTGATGTTTAGAAGTTATTTAAATAAGACCGTAACGTATTCCGGCGGACAAGCCAAGGGACAATGCAACGTTCGAGATAGAAATGATTCAGAGATACAATCTGAAACCTAAGTTGCAGACTTCATGTATTACAAATTTTCTTGCTTAATGTTTTGTCTACAATAACTTTTTCTCCGTTCAGTTAAAAAGTTCACGGACGATTCAACACAGAATGTTGAAGAAAAGCGTTACATAGACATCGCACAACTTCAAAATAGTAAGTACTGATTTTTTATTTTTCAAAATGCTAGATTAATGACATATTTATACTACTATTTCATCTTTTCAGACTGACTGACTAAGATGAATTGGTGCCCGGAAGCAGGGGCCATCTTCCAGTTTGGAGAAAGAAAGGATTTGATTTATATCCATAAAAGTTTTGAAGGACAAACGTCGATGACTCAGAGACGAAAGATGGAATTCTGTAACATCTGGAGTTCGATGGCTGCTTGAGGTTTGTGAGCTTAACAACCTGTTTATTCACGACGGCGGTGATGATTGCGCTTATTTATCCATCATTGAAGGGTTGAAGCCATTCGATTTTTATGCTTCACGCTTCGAAAATAGTGAAATTGAGAGTAATCCTGAATGAGCTCAAAACTTCAATGAGTTTGTGTGTCTTTGACAATGCATGGTCAAGAATGGGCACAAAGTATCTGCTTATATGCAGTTGCCGAACTTTTTCCAAAAACTTTATTTGGAGAGATTCTGATAAAAATTTTCTCTCTTAGACTACACCCAACCGTTGGTAATATTGGCTACATGTCATTGGACAGGCACTATGTTGCACTGTTGCCCATAACCATGCCAATTGATAGGCCGAACTCGGTTTTCATGCAAGCTAACCCGAAGCAGCGGACTGGAAACATCTCAGCAAACAATGATCCGGAAACAAAAGGGTTTTCATGACTTTCCAAAGTATCCGGAGCTTCTTGGATGAATCGAGTCTGGGAGAAAATTTTGTAACATCTACTAGTGCTCGTATATCTTTCGTATTCTATTTCACTGTGATATATGTTTCTAGAGGTGCAATTCCCTGGCCTCCATTCGAAACCCCAACAAAAAGGTCGGAGCCCACGAAATCCTCCACGCCGCGTAAGAAACCTGTCGGGAGGGACTTCCTCGAGAAAGGCGTTACTTGTTACAAAGAAAACGTGCCACAGAGAAGGCACAAGGCGTTATCTCAAAGTGTGCTATGTGTGACATCTCTTCAACAGTAAAGAGGATGAAATATACGCAAGTAAAAACGGTGCAAAGCCAGCCACTTGGGTGAGTGCGTTTTCCGGGCTTGACATTAATAACCGAGAAACCGGTGGAAGAGCATTCTCCATTTCCATGCCCTTCTCGTGTAAAATTTCTATTTCTATTTAAATATGCACGACCACCTGTCAGTGTTCCCTCTATTTTATAGAGCAAGACTATTTTAAGGCTGAGCAGAATCCTAAATTATCTGCAAACTTTGTGAAATGTTATAATTTTATCATATAATATTGTACTGCGTAAATAAACAATACTTCATGTACAATATCAGCATTTTGTTGTTGAAAAATCATTGCTTTCATCAACAATAAGATTAAGGAATTTTGCTTGTCTTATGCTCTGTAAGATTTCTTCCCTGTCGACAAAGTCTATCTATGTATTTCAGAAATTCAAAGTCGTAATTTTTGCTTCGCCATGAATGTGGCAATTCAGTATATTTTCACATACGCGTGGTATAACACTATCAATGAGAGGCTTTATTTCACTTGACGGAGATTTCAAAACTTCACTCTCTTCAGCAATTGGCAATGTGGTTCCCCAGTCCTCATTGATTCAAAATTTCGCTTCTGAGTTAA